AGACTAGGGAGGACTCGCTCCCGCCCTCTCCCCTCCCCTCCCCTCCCGCGGGAAGGCCGCGGCGCTCGGCCCAGCACGCCCCCGTCACGCATCACCCGGAGAGCAGCACCCGCCGTCGGGCGGGCCCGCCTTGCTCTCTGGAGGGCGGCGCCCCGGCGGCGGCAGAGCCCAGGAACACGGCCTGCCCTGACCCGCCCAAGCCGCCTGCGGAAACCTTCCTAAGGAAAGAATCCAAAACAGAGAAAGCTTGTAGCGCGGGGCAGCGACAGCTCGGGCTAGGATCCAGTACCTTCTCGGTGGGCAACATCTAAGATCAAGGAAATCAGTTCCAGGCAGGCCCCTGCTGCTGCAGTCCGCGCTTAGCTTTTTTTTCTTTCCTTTTTCATTGAATTTGGGATCCGAGCTAATGCTGACCACCCGTCAAACTCACAAGTCTTCCCGAACCCCGGGCGCACCGTCTCTCCCCCAAGGCTTGCAGGCGCCGGCGCCGGCAGAGGGAGCTCCTACTGCCCGCCCTCTCGCGGTGCCCGCCAGGCTCGGGGCACCCGCCCGCTCGGTAGTTCAGAGACAACCGTGTTTACATCTTGCCCAGGGCAGGAGTCTCGGAGAGGCTGCTTTAATGAGTCCCCCTGAGGGGCCAGAGGCACAACCGCACAACCGCCGTCCCCACAGCTACCAAGCAAGAGACGGGATCCGCTCCAGGTTGTCGGGCCTGCGCGGCAGCCTCGCCCGACTCCCAGCTCCGCTCGCGGACTGGTGTTCAGCCAGGACGGGCAGCGCGTGGCCGCCTTCACGTCCCAGGCCCTCACGTCTCCGCCCGCCCCGGTGCAGGCAAGGGCCGTGAGGGGACACAGAACCTCTCCTCCAGGTGTCCCTACCTGTGCCCGTGTAGTCTCCGGAGCTGAGGTGCCTGTGGATGTCCTCAACAGATCTGTCATCTGCTGCTCTCAGTAGACACTGAAGCAGAGTTAGCAGCGGGTGGGGACCACCTAAGGCCCTGAGTGGGCCCCTCGCCTGGGACCTCTTGCCTCCCCTCTAGATGAGGCGACCAGACCTCAGGCGACAACTGATTTCTCCCACGCAGTCCTTCCTGCCTCTGCCTGTCTTTAATAACCAACAGCTTAAAGGACAGCAAAATGTCCTCGGTAGCCCCTCAGTCCAGTCTCCAGAACAGGCGGCAAGATTTGTCCTCGACTGTCCTCATCTGGGCTCTCATGTCTCTCCTCAGTGCCTCATTCTCCCTTCGAGCCAAGGGCTCAGGTCTGGCCATGCACCGGAATGCGGTCACCGGGCTTGAGTGCCCCGCAGCGCTGCTCACGCATCATGTGTCGGGGGCTCGCGCTCCGTCTGGGGGTGGGAACCCAGATCTGAGCTAACAGCTGAACGACCTCACCGGTTCCTCGCTGCTCCACCTGAAGCTCGGCACCATGCCCTGAGGGTGAAGGGGACTCTCAGCACAGGCGCCCGGAGCGGAGGGGACTGCTGCCATTCATCCCATGTAAGCACAGGGACGTGAGGTGACAGATGGGTCTCCTCACCGTGTCTGTCATCTCTCTTCCCCATTATAGACCCCCAGGACTGAGGGGACACTTGTCTTAGTTCAGCAAGGCCCAAGTTCTGTGTCAGATGGCATTTGGAGCTGAGGTGACAGCTTAATGCCCTTAGTTGGGACTTCTCTGTCTTCCCCATTGCAGGTTCCTAGAGCTGACAGGTGACTGTCATCAGGACCCGCTCTCTTTCTCAGTCACCCAGGGGTCAGGTGACAGTTGACTGTCAACACCAGGGCCCTTACGTGTATGCCCTGCTGTGGCGCTCAGATCTGGGGTGCCCTGACCTGGACCCTTGTGCCTGTCACAGCGGAGACAGAGCTGGAGGAAATCGGGAGGTCCCAACACACCACTCTCCGCACTCATACCTGGTCATCATGTGTTGGGGGCCCCAGAGGAGTTAGGTCCCTCTTCTACTTTGGGCTCCCGCTGCTCCCCTTATGTGGATCCTCCCACATCCCCAGGGGAATCCTCCCTGGTGATGCCATGCCAGCAGGTCCCCCAGGGAGCCTGGGGACCCAAGAGGACAATCCCCAGAACACAGCTCTCCTGGGTCCCCCAAAGTCTAGGAATGTCTGTGGGGCTCTGCAGAGGACTCTGAGCTTGAGGACCCTGCCAGGGTCCGGACGGACTCCCGCATCTTCATTTATTTGACGGCTCCCGACCTCCAAGGGCTTGAAGTTATGCTCAGGTCTGTGTTTTGGGGATGTGAGGTTCCAGCATGGCTGGGAACTTAGAGTAGGCCCAACAGCGCCCTCTGGTGGTAAGCGGGGTAAGGCGCGGTCACACCTTCAGGGACTCACACCGCCCCATTCCTTTTGTCACCCCAGCTCATCATGCATGAGGCTGCTCTGCAGTCAAGGGCAAGACCCTTGGCAGCTACGTGGGAGCCAGAGGGCTACAGCGGAGCCTGCAAGTCCGTAGGCTGGCCCCCTCTAGCTCCCGGGTAGGCCTTTGCCACCACCCCCTGTCCAGGAAGTCCCAGGCACCAGGAAGGACCAAGGCCACTGCCCGCAGGGTGGAACCTGGCTTCCAATCCTGTCCACATGGAGTCTTCTTGGCTGCTCTGCATGGACCTGGGCTGGGGGGGGGGATCTTGAGGTCCAGAGCCCACTGAGGAAAGTCACCACTTAAGGGTATGTGATCTGTCCTAACCCTACGGAGCTCCCATCTTCCCTGTTTGGTAACCTCAGTGACCTCCCGCCTTACTTCACCTGATGTACCACCTCCCCTGGTCACAGGAGGGGATGGGGAGAGTGCAGACGGCACCCAGGAGGGCTGCTGGGGGCTGTACGGGGGCGACACATTCCCCTAGCTTACGGAGCGGAACAGGCCAGCCCACCAGTAGTTTATCTACGTATGGCTCCCACGTGGGAGCCTTGGCTCCCCATCGACCAGCCAGGACTCCGCCAGGCTGCGCCCTCCCTAGGTTCTCCAGCTGGTTCTCACTGGCAGGACCAGGTAAGGTTTGCATGGCTGGAGTGAAAAGCTCCGGGCAATTGCCTCCCGAACAGGGGTGAGGAGAGAGGGGCTAAGCCCTGACAACCAGGAGCCCTGGGCTAAGTCTCCCCCTCCCAGGGAGCGGAGCCTCCCCACTCTCCCCTGCCACCCTGAGTGATTTTCTGGACCACTTGTTCCCTCCATAAAACGTCTGATCGTTCTGTCCTTTAGTTCTGGGCTGGCTGCACCTCCCAGAGCCCGGGGTGCTAGTGCTGCACTATTGTTGAGTAGGGCTGGGGGAGAGGGGAGCACAGGGGAGTGTACTGGGACGAGCAACCCCCCCCGCCACGCCCCCCCACCATGGCCCTGGAACGTGGCCTTATTTGGAAAGGGGACTGTTTACAGAGGTAATCAAGGTTAAGTCAGACGGAGGTCACAGAAGAGAACGGCCCCTAATTTGACAGGACTGCTGTCCTAAGAGGAACCCGGAGACACAAGAGCACACAGACAGGGCAGAACGCAGAGTCGGGGGCAGACACTGAGTGATATGTCTGCCAGCCACGGAAGGTCCAGGATGTCGCCACAGCGGGAAGTGGCAAGGAGGGCCCCTAGAGCCTTCGGAGGGAGCTCGGCCCAGCCACACCCGGATTTCCCACTTCTGGCCTCCGAGCCAAGGGAGGACGCAGTCAGGCTCCCCCTCCCTGGCCCGTGTGCCTTGTTGCAGCTATGCCCCCCGCCCGGCATCCAGGGTGAGTCACAAGAGCCCATTGCCTCTTTCCTAAACACTTCTTGCCTCCGTGGACTGGCAGTGCGTGTAAACGGCCCTCAGCGATTCTGTGGTAAGTCCTCTCTGTGGTGGGGACAAAGTCAAGGTGGAGGAGGCCCATGTGGGCAGCGAGTGCGGTGGAAGCATTTGTTGGAAAGTGAAAATGAATGTGACCCAACCTCATACCCCTCCATGGTCTGGTGACGAAATCCTGCAGAGGGCGACCGAGTGAGGAGCACAGGTGAGTGTGATTGTGTGGGGGGCCTCGGGGAGCAGGGCTCAGTCACGACTAGACGTGGGGTCAGGGTTAGGCCTGGACTGCCAAACCCGAGCTGGCGAGAGATGCGGCTGATGAGAACCAGGTGAGGTTCTGGTTCTCATTAGCCACGTCTGTCCCGCGGGCCCTTGGTGGGCCGGGCTGGCCCAGGCACCCTCCTGCAGGGTAACAGGCCAGAAGCAAACAAGCAGGGAGCAGGAAACAGGGTGTGTTTGTGGATTTAATGGTGGTGAGTGGGTGGGCCATGGAGTGCAGAGTTGGGGAGAGCTGGAGGGGGCAGAGAGGCATCCAGGAGGCCCGGGACACCAGGTGCTGCAGGGCAGCACGGAGGTCCCTTCCAGCGGGTGACCAGGAATGTCGAGTGGCACTGAGACTGGTGTGAAAACGCTGGAGCCCGTCCCCTCAGTTCCGAGGACCGCGCTCACAGCCAGCGGGAGTGTGGGGTTGGCCCCTGGCCCACAGATGCCTGCCCACTGCCCCCCTCTGACATCCCTCACCCCTGCCCTGGGTGGAGGATCCCAGGACAGATGGGAAAGCCACTCTACTTCCTTTTGTGGGGGCTCAGGCCAGTGGACAGAAGCTGGCTCAGGAAGGGCCAGTGGCAGCTAGAGATGGTCACAGCGCGAGTCTCGAGTGCTTTGCTAGTGGCGGAATGTACTGGGCCCGGGCTGGCCAGGGGCCGGGAATGTGAAGCTGCGGCCTGTGGCCCCGGACCACTCCCGATGCGAGGCTGGGGTGACAGGCAAGTGGGAAGAACAAAGATGGGGCCGAGGTGGGTGGGGTGGGGACCTGGGGCTCAGGGCTCAGAGCTTGTGGGGGTTCACCCACTTGTAGGTGCCCTCGTACTGGAAGCCCACTCTCTTCATCAGATCATCTGCCTCTGCGGGGCCTCGGCTGGGAGAGCGACAGGCAAAGGGGAGCTGTGAGGGCACCCCGGGGCCCCCGCAAGCCCCCCCCCCCCCCCCCAGCCCCCCCCCCCCGGCCCCTTACCCGCCGTAAACATAAGGGATGGGCTGGAGCCTCTCGCGCTCGATCTTGTGCAGCAGCGGCGTGAAGATCCGCCAGGCTTCCCGGAGCTCGTCACTGAGGGGACACCGCGCGGCTCTGGGGTTGCTGGCGGGGGCACAGGGCCGCGGCCCTGCCGCCTGGAGCCCAGCTCCGCCCTGGTGCGCACCCGGGGCCCAGGGGCGCCCCTCACCTGCGCACGAAGTGCATCTGGTTCCCGCAGAACACGTCCAGGATGAGGCGCTCGTAGGCGTCGGGGAGCTTCACGTTCTGTGAGGGGAGGCTTCGCGCTGTGGCCGCCCGAGCCTGCCGCCACCGCCCCCCTCCCCGCCCCCCCTCCCCCGCCCGGGCCAGGCACCCACCTTATATCTGTTGCCATAGGTCAGGTCGAGCTCGGACTCCTCGGGGTTGAAGAACATGCCGGGCTTCTTGGTCATCATCTTGGTGTACACGGCCTCGTTGGGCTGCACGCGGATCACCAGCTCGTTGCGCTTGCACTGCTGCCGGAAGATGTCGCCGGCCACGTCGCGGAACTGCAGCCGCACCTCGGCCTTGCGCTCGTTCAGTGCCTTGCCGCAGCGCAGGACAAAGGGCACTCCTGCGGGGGGCGCAGTGGCGTCAGGCGGGAGGGGGCGCAACAGGGCGCGGGGGCTGGACCCCGGGGTTGGGGGGGCACCTACCGTCCCACCTCTCGTTTTCCACGTAGAGCACGACGGCCGCAAAGGTGGCGGTGGTGGACCCGTGGGGCACCGTGGGGTCATCCAGGTAGCCTTTCGTGGACTCCCCCTCTCCACTGGGGTTCCCCACGTACTGGCCCAGGACCACGTTGTCTGCCTGCACCTCGGAGATACACTTCAACACCTTGACCTGGGAGCGAGCCGGTAGAGAGGGGCTCCTTGGGCAAGGGGGCAGACGTGGGGAAGCTGGGGCACCACGCAGGGCAAGCTTCCTGGCAGTGTGACCAGCCAGCACACACAGGGGGACACACGCTGTCTGTGCGGCTCGCTGTGCAGAGCCCGTGGCCATGGCCCTCCCATCCGAGGGCTCCCCAAGACCACCCAGACCCGCCCTCCTTTTCTCCAGAAGGAGAGGCAGCGGGTGAGCCCGGGAGACAGAAGAGCCCCCTGCAGTCCTGGCGGCAGGGGCCAGAAGGGAACGCGTCAGGGCACCTTCTCATCCCGGACGTCGTCCGAGTCGGTGGAGGCTGGCTTCTCCATGGCCACGAGACACAGCATCTGCAGCAGGTGGTTCTGCATCACGTCCCTGTGGAGGGAGGCGCAGGCAGGCTCAGCTCGGGGCCTTTGAGCAGGGCCGGAGGCGCAACGGGGCTCAGCAGCTCAGACAGGGCTCTCCAGCAGCAAGCCAGGACATTGGCTTCCTGAGCTCACCCCTGCCGGTCCCCTTAGGCAAGGAAAGAGATAGGGACACCCCCCCTTTGCAGCTGACGCTGACTGCTCAGTCACCCACTCGTGAATCTCAATCTCGAGGGAGGAGGAGCCCCCCAGAACAGGGAGCGGTGACCCCGCAGAAGAGCAAGATCGCACTCCTTGCCTGTGAAGGAGAGACAGACGCTCACCGGATGATCCCGAATTCGTCGAAGTAGCCCCCGCGGCCCTCGGTGCCAAAGGGCTCCTTGAAAGTGAGAATCACGCAGGCGATGTTGTCCCGGTTCCAAATGGGGCCAAAGATCCTGTTGGCAAACCTGCAGCGGGGGCAGTGTGGAGTGCGCTGCTGTACCCTGGGGTGCAACAGCAGGACGGGTGGTGCCCCACGAGTGCCCACCCCATACCCAGCGTCCACCCCCACCCTGTCGCCCCGGCCCGGCCCCACCTCAGCACCATGAGGTTCTGGACCATCTCCTTGCCCAGATAGTGGTCGATGCGGTAGATCTGGTCCTCACGGAACAAGGAGGAGATATGGTTGGACAGCCTGTCGGAGCTCTGCAGGTCCCTCCCAAAGGGCTTCTCCACAATGACACGGTTCCAGCCTCTGCGGGAGCCCAGAGCTGCGTCACTGTCACCCCACACTCTCCCTCGGCAGCAAGGGCCAGCGCCTCATCTCCCCCCAGGTCTCCGTCCTCGAGCAGAGGCAGAAGCTTCCCTCCCCGTCTTCATGCTCAGCTGACCCGCAGAGCTCTGCTGGCACAGAGTCCCCAGACCCGAGGACACCTCCTGTCCACCATGCTCTCCAAAACTTCCTCAGAAGCCCTCCCACGCAGCTGGCTGCTTGCTGGGATGAGTGCTCCAGGGCTCCGCCTGGGTAGTCCCGCTCCCTTCCAGCCCCCCCGGGGGTCTCTCATAGGTCAGGACTAGCCCAGGAGCTGGTGGGGGAGCAGGGGTAGGGCATGTCAAGAGCACAGCTGCCTCCGCGGATTTTAAAATGGAAGAACGCCCCTTTCTTGGACAGTTAATGCAGCACTCTGCGTTCAAAACCAGAACGAAGTGAAAGAGACTACTGTGGGTTTGAGAGACAGATGGACTGGCAGAGCCCAGGGGCACCACAAAGCAAAATTCTTGCGCAGCAACACTGCCGCCTCGTGGTCACCAAGGGGACCGCGGGAAGCGCAGAAAAACCAGAAACAGACCAGCGGCAGATTCGTGGAGCAACACCGCCACCTTGTGGTCCTCGCAGGAACAGCGGCGAGGGAAAGCTGGATTTCTGGCAAGATGGGCCAGGAGGGCCCTCGGGAGGGTTTCCAAGGCAAGAAGCGTGGTAGCATTTCTGGCAAATGCTATTACAAAGCCCCTGTGTTCATGCCCTATTCTCGTCTTTCAAGAGCTAACTCCTGTAGAGAACAGGGGTCACCATCCTTTTCCAACTCGGTGGACTAGCTTGCCCAGGGACTCTTGGATAACCGCCAGGCCCGGCCACACCAGGACAGGGCACACCTAAGAGGCAGGGAAAAGACAAGCCTTACGTCTGGCTCATGCAGGTCTCGTGGATGTGCTTGGTGACCGCCTCGTAGACCGTGGGGGGCAAGGCCAGGTAAAAGAGGCGGTTGGCCTGTGGCCCCTGGTGGAGGGCGTTCACATGGCTGTTGAGGCGCTCGTAGGAGGCTGCATCATCGTACTGACCAGCCACATAGGAGTTGCGGGCAAAGAACTCCTCCAGCTTGGGCTTCTCCTCTGGTGTGGCCTGAGAAAGATTGACACAGGGACACTGACCCCTGCCCGGCCCTCCCCCACTCATCCTGGCATGCTCCCTCAGAACTCAGTCATTCAAGCACCACACCGGCTTCACCCCCATGTTGTCGGCTTTGCACACCTACGGGGGAGGCCGAGGTAGCACAATACCACATGGGATGGGGCCCAGCAGTCACCTCTGGGGACCCCAGGCCCTGACATGAAGTCAGATTTCGGGAGGCTGAGACCTGGCTCTCTCCAAAGTCAGGGTGCCAAACCACGGTGTGTTGGGGAAAGGCAGATGTGTAAGACTTTCAGGGTGAAGATACTTTTTTGGCTCCTGGCCCCCCGGGGGGGCATGTATGGGAGGCGCAGCAGGGTCGAGGTCAGAGGGGAGTTGGAAACAGGGCTCCCAGGCTGGCGGGCTCCCGCATCTTGCCCTGTGCAGTGGTGTGGCTGGGCGGCATGGCTGCTGTGGGGAAGGCGAAGGGGAGAAGCGCTCCGGGCAGGAGGGGCGTCTGTCCCTCCTGGAGACCCCCAGAAGCCACTCACTTTGAAGAAGGGCTCGCTCTGTTTCCGGATGTCGGCCACTGTGAGGCGGGAGCGGGCGTAGCCCACGACGAAGGTGTCTTCAGGTAGAAGGCCATCCCGGAACAGCCACCTGAGGGCACGGCATGGCTGGGGCCAGGGTGGGGAGGGCAGGGAGGGCTGGGGATGGTGGGACAGTGGGGGGACATGCTTACCAGATGGTGGGGTAGATCTTCTTCTTGGCCAGGTCGCCCTGGGGCGGAGGGAACAGGCGTGGTTAGGAGAAGCTGGGGGCTGGGGGCATGACCTAGATGGTCTCCTCCCCTTCAGTCCGGACGCTGGCTCAGGGTCACCACTCAGCCGCAGGAGGCACCACGACCAGGCCACCTGCCCTGTGACCACACGTACCACTCAGATCACAATCTCTGGTCACAGGGTGAGCAGGCGGAGCCACACCCAGGCCAAACGCCGGCTTCTGAACCGTGCACAGGCTAACAAAGACGACTGAGAGCTCTCAAACCAAAGGGCATGATCTATGGCCTGAGATGCCGCCTTAGCTCAGGCCTAATGAGCTCAGGGCCTGATTTACGAAGTCAGACAAAAGAGTAGAACTTTAAAGCCAACTTTAAAGCCAAACAAATTACAAGGCAGGGAATAATGAAAAATAAAAGTTACTAAAACAGAAAATAGGAGCGCCTGGGTGGCTCGGTTGGTGAAGCGTGGGCCTTCAGCTCAGGTCATGATCCCGGGGTCCTCGCCCCGTGTCGGGCTCCCTGCTCGGTGGGGAGTCTGCTTCTCCCTCTGCTGCTCCCCACGCTCATGCTCTCTCTCTCAAATAAATAAATAAAATCTTAAAAAAAGAACAAAAACAAAACCAGAAAATAAACCAAAGAAAATATTAAGAAAGCCAAAACCTGGTGTTTTCCAAAGACGAATAAAAACACAACTTTTTTTAAAACTCCAAGAATTCCACCAAAATGGCAGAAACAGGGAACTCCATTCTGGGGCAGACCCTGCCTCTATAACCAGAATATATAACCTGCTCCTGCACCAAAGTAAGAAGACAGCCCCATGGAAAACTGACCAGATTCTGACAAACGCACGAGAAAGTACCCAAGATCAAGTTGAAGGGAAAAGTCAAGTGAAGCCCCTCGCGGCTGTTTCCCAGTCATTGGGACGGTTGTAACCCGGAAGGCCGGCGACACCAAGCATCAGAGAGATGGAGACACAGCCCAGATGCTCAAGTGAGAGATGGAGAGAAAGACCCTATACGTTCTTTTTTTAAAAAAAATTTCAATTTTATTTATTTAACAGAGACACAGTGAGAGAGGGAACACAAGCAGGGGGAGTGGGAGAGGGACAAGCAGGCTTCCCACTGAGCAGGGAGCCTGATGCGGGGCTTGATTCCAAGATCCCAGGATCATGACCTGAGCCGAAGGCAGACGCTTAATGACTGAGCCACCCATGCGCCCAGCCCTATACATTCTTAAAAAAATATTTATTGATTTATTTGAGAGAGAGAGAGAGAGAGAGAGAGACACACACACAGCACAAGTGGGAGGGGCAAAGGGGGTGGGAGAACGAGAATCTCAAACAGATTCCGTGCTGAGTGTGGAGTCCAATGTGGGGCTCGATCCCAGGACCCTGAGATCGTGATCTCAGCTGAAACCGAGTCAGACGCCTCACTGTCTGTGCCACCCAGGTGCCCAAAAGAGTCCTATATTGTGTTAAAGTTGTGCAACTTACTGCATCATTGAGATTGGTACATTTCAGTGCATTTCAATGCATTTCAACTTTTTCCAAAAAAAAACCAAACCCTGAAAAACAATAGTTGAGCAGAGTGGGGAGTGGGTGAAGGAAGACACAGAATTTCAGGACGCCTGGGTGGCTCAGTCAGTTAAGTGTCTGCCTTCGGCTCAAGTCATGATCCCAGGGTCCTGGGATTGAACCCCGCATCGGGCTCCTTGCTTGGTGGGGAGCCTGCTTCTCCCTCTGCCCGCCACTCTCCCTGCTTGTGCTCTGTCATATAAATAAATAAAATAAATAAATAAATAAAATCTTTCAAAAAAAAAAAAAAGAGGCAAATTATCATGGGAACTGGGCAATGGACCATGGCCATTTGTTGCGCCTTTTTTTTTGAGAAAGAGAGTGAGACAGTGAGCACGTAGGCAGGGGGAGGGAGAGAACCCCACCAGGCTCCACACTCAGCACAGAGTCTGACACGAGGCTGGATCTCTCAACCGTGAGATCACGACCTGAGCTGAAACCAGAAGTTGGGCGCTCACCCGACTTGAGCCACCCAGGTGCCCCTCACGGCCCTACGGCATCAACTTTGCCAATGTGTGAAGTTTTCCACAAGCACATGGCAACTTCAAGCAACAAGATGGGAGATCCCAGAAATTCCACAGAGGATGCCCTCGAAAGCATCCCAGTTCGGTCCCTGAGCCACCCCAATATGCTTCAGTTCTGTGAGCAAAGGAACTCTCCAGTCCGGGTGGGAGAGGCAGAGGCAGGAACGGACACAAGCTCCTGAGGACCAGCGGGGCAGGCACCCTTCCATCTGCCCACCCTGTGATCAGGGTGTGGGACGGGCCTGGGCTGCGAACCCACGCTGCTCCGGGCATTGCCGATCAGTGCCGAGACAGTAAGGCAGGCTGGGGCAGGCTGGGGCAGGCTGGACTGGCTGTAGGCAGAAAAACGGAGGCTCCTGGGGTGACCTGCCGTCCTCCTGGGGTTTTAGGTGAGGATGTGCATGTGGGCCCAGCCTTTAGTGAGCACCAAGCCCACATCGACAAGTGTTTCCCGGTCCTCTCTGGGCTCCACCGGGATCCCCAACTCCTAAAACAGGTGGTTCCCAAACCAGGGTTGGCTGTCCACAACCGATCTCCCTAGCAGTCTGCAGCGGGTCCCTGTCATCACGGCCACCTTCCTGCAGCTGCTCTCACTGGTACTTCCTGGTCCAACTCCAACCCCCAGCCCAGGGACCCCACTACAGCAGACAGTCAGCGGCCACCTCTGGCTTCTCCCATCAGCAGGGCTGGAGGGAGACTCTGCTCAGGTCATGTTTGCTTACGATCAAACTCCAGTGGGCTGGGAGGACTCGGGATAGGCTGCAGGCAGCAGACTGGTGGCAGGGGACAAGCCTGCCGTCTGCTGAGTCACAGCGCCCAGCACCCCAAGCTGTTTGTTCCTGCGGCCTCCCTTGGGATTAGCTACCGACAGAACCTGCCTCCTTCAGCTCAGCCCCGCTGCCCGGAGGCCTGCTGGGCTCCAAGTCGCCCAAGGGCCAAGTGAGGTATGACCCAGGACGGTGGCAGGGGTTCCCGCTGGCGGCTCCCCCGCATGGGAGGTGAGCTGGCCAGCCCTCCCCGCCGGCCTACACCAGACTCCTTTGCAAGAGTGAACATGGGAAGACATGGACCAAACCTCAACACACCGTGGGGTGAGGGGGGCGATCACAGGGTCTCTTGGAGAAATGCAATCAGAGGCCTCCTGTCTTTCCCAACCCCCTCATTTCCGTCTGAGGGCACAGCAGTGGGGAAAGAGCTGCCTGGGGACATGTGGGGACATGTGGGGACTTTAGCAGAAGAAGGAGGACCTCTTAAGCTCTCCAGCTACCAGCATCTGTCCCAGCTGGGGCAAAGGGACTTGGGTCACCGCCTGCCTGTTGCCACCTAGTCTGACCACAGCTTCTAGTTTTATAAGCCCCAAAACACTGTCGACATCTCTGTGAGGATCCGAGGGCGGAGTAGGCAGCCCAGTCCCTCAGAGGCCAGCCGCCAGCTGGAGGCCTGGAGGGGTGGGCCATCCCGGCCCCCAAGGGTTACCTGGGTCAAGGATGTGCCTGGGCTCTTGGGGTGGAGCCCGGGCCCTGGCTGCAGCCCAGCTGGCTCCTGGGAACTGGGGAGAGAGAACCTAGGGGCTGTTGAGGTAAGTTCCCTCCTCCACCCTGGGGTTCATGAATCATCAGGCCTTTGGGGGAAGTGCCAAGGTCATCATGACGCAGCAAGAATCTTATCGACCCAAGGGGCAAAAGCAGTCCAGAAACGTCCCCAAAAGACAGAGGGGCCAGGACTCTCAGGTAACCTGTCACCTAGGTGGACATTGGGACGAGGCCTGAACAGCCATCAAGTCCATGGTCCTTATGGTCCAGGTCGGGAGACTGAGGTCCAGAGAGGTGAGGGCCTTGCTGAGAAGCCTGCAGTGAGCCGGTCGTGCCCACGCAGACTCCCTGTCCTGTTCTCTCCCCACTCCTTTCTCCATCCCCTGTGGGGGGGGGTGGGGAGAGGCCTCTAGCCTGTCCAAGGTTCTATCAGATGGGGGAGGACATGATGTGCCTGGCCCAAGGCTCCCCTCTCCCCAGCTCTGGTCTATAAGGAGAAACTGGTTTCTTTCATTCCAGAGCTTTCCAGACATGGACATTAAGTATCTCCACTCCCTTCCTGGCTGGGGGTGGGAGTCCTAAAAAGGGGGGCAAGTGGCCACATGGGAGGAACAGAGAGCAGCTCAAAGCCTATTGGGTAACTGTGAGCCAGCATCAGGACGCTCTCAGGAAGGAAGCTGGGCGGGAGAGTGAGGCTTGGGTAAGCAGAGGAGGAATGAGGAAGGGCAGGGGACGGCCATGTGGACCCAGCCTGCTCTGGGGCCTCTGCCACTGGGGGCTCTGCGTCTGCTCTGCTCTTTGCGTGGAATGTTCCCTGACCCTGGCTCTGCCTGGGACCTGTGTGCTGGAGGTGGTGGACACAAGGGCCCACTGGTGTTTTCGGTCACATGTGCCACCAGAAGCTCTGATTGGGCTAGGAACTCCCCTTGGGTCCCTTCCCCCCAGCACACAGATCGCATGGGGAAGGTGGGGCCGGCACTCACTGTACCGTAGAGAAGGCACTTGGTTGCTATTTGTTGGATGAATGAGCAGCGAACTTGTGGGTTTCCCAGAAGAGCAGGTCTGGGAGAGTGCTACCGCCTACCTCTTCTAAGTAGGGAGTGGACACCGGAGGCTGGATGGCGGGAGCTGTCCTAGACGCTGCCTGAGCACGGCAGGCCCACCCACCTGGCTCCAGTCCTCTTGAGCGGACGACTCAGGACAGGGGGTCCCCCCCCCACTCTCCACGTCTGCTCTGGAAGGGTCTGGCTGTCAGAGCAGAGGAGAGCAAAGGGGAACCTACCAGTTGCAAGGAAAAGTTGCTCAACATCGAGCCGGCCACAGGCAGACGCACTGACCACTCAGAGAATGAGCTCAGCCCGAGGTCCCTTGACATTGGTTTCAAAAGCCCTCATTTGCTCTGCAGAAACACTGAGGAGCAGAGGAGGAGGGCCGCCAGCCAGTCATGCGGCGAGCTTGGGTGCCCTCAACAAAGCATCTGAGGAGCTGACAGCCCAGAGTCCTAGACCATTTTTGTGGCCTGGGACCCTCTGGTGGAGCTTCCCAGGGCAGCCTGGTATGGGGGTGGGGGAAGGAGGAGGCATAATCCTGAGTAACTTTCTCCTCCAACCTGTTTCGTGGATCTAATGGTCAGACTCCCAGCTGTGAGGGCTCATGGGCAACACAGGTTAGGGTTAGAGGAGCAAACGCCGGGGCCAGGGTAGAGACGAAGGCTGCACCCCTCCAGCCCATGTCCCTGTGTCCCCCTACTCTAGGAGTTACAGAATCAGGAGATAGTGCTGGTGGTGGCCTACCTTCCTTCCTTCCCTCTGGCTCTCTGGCAGAGCCCCATCTCACCCCCAGCACTGCCTGCTGCCTCCTGCTCTCCTTTGTGGAGTTCTCCTTGGAATCACCAAAGTTGGCAGGTGCAGGCTCTGTCTACAGAGCACACCTTATGACACATGAACTAGGAACCAAATTCTGCCAGAGCTAAGGGGACCGTGACATGGATGGTGCAGAGAGATAATGCCCACTCTGCCAAGAGCTCGATGGTTCTGGTGGAATTCTTGCTTAAGCTTATACGACAGGTTACGGGCAGAAAGGGCCCCAGGATGGTTAGCAGGGTCCTGCTCATGCTGAAGGTGAAGACGAAGAGCTCCACTAGGACTGCCCTCCCTCTCCAGTCCCCCATCACGTGTGGTCTGTGTGCTATACTTGTGCCTTCGCTTCTATCCTTTGATCTTCTAGAACAAAGTGTCAATTCCACAGGCTGAACAATGGGATGGGGTGGGACAGGTCATAGCTTCTCAGCGGGCCTTGGGAGCTGGGGTAATGACATAGGCCTTGGGAGCTGGGGTAATGACACGGTACTCAAAGGAAGGGCGAATGTTTGTTCCCAGGGAACTTGTGATACAGACAGAGAAGGTGGAGCTCGGGCCTCAGAATGTGCCTTTGCAGCTCACTGTGTGACACCTGCCAAGCCAGAAACAGGCTTGAAAGAGATACAGAGTGAATGGCCTGCCCCGTGCGCAGTTTGCCCTGTGGAGGAAGAAGTCCAATGAGAGAGTCTCTAAAGTCTTCTGCGCACAGATTTCAGAACAGCCTGGCAAGGATGCATACTGGGTGGTACTGGGATGGTAGTGGCAACTGAGCAGAGCCCCTGGGGCCTCCAGACAGTGGGCTGGGAAAGCCCAGGCACCCAGCAGGTAGGGACCCGAGGCAATGTCACCCTCCAAGCCTGGGGGAGACTCACCGATGCACCCATGATGATGAAGATGTGTGTATCAGATTGATGGAAGGCATTGCCTTGGTACAGCTCTTCACGCAGGATCCCGCACACCTGGGTCCGGCTCAGGGCCACCTGCTCTGCCATGATGCTCTCTGGTTAAAGAAAGGCTCGTTGACAAAGCAGGAAAACAACAGAGCATGGGGAAGTTGGCCAATTTCTGCAGGGGTCCTTTGGGGTCTCACCCAAAGATGCCTGCTTATTGAAATCCCTTCCTGAATGGCAGGGAAACAGGACGGTTGGGGGCTTAGAAAAGTGCAGGCTCTGGGCTCCCAGCAGAGTCTCCAAGCGGCTTTATTTCACAGGATTACTAGGGGATCCCAGCTAGAGCCTCAGCTCTGCGAGACCAAGTCAGGCTGCTGGAGCACGGCGCAACCTGCCCAAGCCACCTCTCCCCAGACGCCAGCGCAAACTCCTCAAGGAGCTGGACGGAGCACGTTAGAGCGGGTGCCGAGTATCGAGCGCAGGCCGGGAGATGCCGGCGAGTCGCCGACCCTCTCAGGGTCCCCGTCTCCTCGGGGGATCCAACGGAGGGATGCAGGGGACACTGGGACAGGTTAAACCCTCTCGATTTTGACCCGCTCCCAAGCCTGGCAAATCAAACGGCCTCGCTGCACAGCACGCTCCGCGGCTGGCGCGGCGCCTAGCCACTACTTTACCTGCGCCTCGCCGCCGTCGGACGCCGCGCTCCCAGCCTCCGAGTGCCCGGCCGTTTCCGGGGGCTGCGCCCCGCCGCCTCATTTAAGCAGCGGGGGCGGGGGCCTGGGCTGAGCTGACCGGCCTCAGGCGAGGCGCGTGGGCGGGGCCTCAGCGGCCCCTTACCCTGCGGGCGGGGCGGAGCCAGGGCGCGGGAGGTGCGCGCGCATCCCGCGCAGGGGCGCGCGCACGCGTCCACGCCCTCCCGCCCTCCAGCGGCGTCAGGCTCCCACCCTCGACCCGCCCCGCCCCTTGGGCACCTGCGCGGGCCGCCCGGCTGCCGGGCGCCTTTTCTCCCCGCCGCCGCTGCGCCGCATCCTCGGTACCTCGCGCGTCCCCGTGCAGCTTTGCACTGTTCGCCCGTGTACCCATCGCTGGCTCGGCCCAATCCTACAGTCCAGTTTTCTCGCCCGGCGCGGGCAGCCCTGCGCCCTCGCGGAGGGCTTCACTTCCGCCGGCAGTGTGTCCACGCCTCCTCGACCCTGTTCCTGGGCGGGGCCTTCTGCAGCTCCGTGGGGCTCTCATTAGCTCCTCCTCTGGTGGGGGCGGGGCGGCCCGACTTCCGAGAGATGAGGAGGAGAGTGAGTCGCGACGCCCCCCAGAGTAGCAAGTGCTGCGTATCATGAGGAGCGTCCTGTGGGCAGGCCAAGGCTGGCGGACTCGGGTTGCCCTCTGGAACAGCGTCTTGCACAATTCTGCCGGCTCCCGGGCGGGGGCGGGGCTTGCACGTTTTACTTCCGGATCCCACAGCTACGACACCGGAAGCCGGAAGTGTGAGTTTCGGCAGCGCGAGAAGGGAAGGGTGACCGCAGAACCCGGACTTTCTCGGAGCGCCGGGGCCTGAAGAGTGCTCGCGGCTCACCGTTCCTGCCCTTCTCACGTCGGACCGACTCTGCTGACAGGTGTGGTCCTCTTTCCGAACACAGGGTACTACTGGTGGGCATTCTGCCGCCTCCGAAACTCCCCCGGACTTTCGAGTTTACCCCTCCTGTTGGACCGTGGCCCATTTCTGCCGCCTGCTTTTACAGCACTGGCCAAAGCGGCCCGATGCAGGAGGCGACTTACCTTGGCGGCAAGCGGGACTGTTTCCGCCTCTCTCTCTCTCCGCCACCGTTGCGGAGTCTGACCACACCCCTGCTTCGTGGATGAATCTTTAGTTCGGAGACATTTTCTGCTCATCAAACTTGACTGCGTTCGGGGTTGTTAAATTCTTTAAAAAGGCCCCAGATATGGTTGGTCCCAAATATAGCACCTGTGTATCTTCATGTGCCTCAGTTTGCTCACTTTGCAACAACGATTAACGTACCCGATCTCAAACCGTTTCTGTCACTGGAGGGCGCATGAGCCATCCTGGCATGTTTGAGGAGCTGCAGGGAGGCCACTATATAGCTGGGGCAGAGTGAGCGGGGGGAGAATACTTGCAGAGGAAGCGACGAGGGACCAGATAATTCAGGGCTTTGCAGGCCTTCTTGGAGCCTTTGGCTTTTACACGCAGGGCAATGAGGAACTGTGGTAGGGAACAGTGTAGAGGACGGACAGGATAGGAATTACTTTTTAGGGTGATCTGGCCCCTGTGGGAAGAACAAACTATAGGGGCAAAGGTACGAGCACGGTTAACTGTCAGGAGATTATCCCAGTAATCCAGATAAGTGTGCTTTGAGCATTTTATTATGAAAAATTTCAAAGGAAAATTTCAAAGACATACAAAAGTAGAAAGAATAGTGTAGTAAATCCTATGTCCTCACTTCCCAGCTTTGACACTTGTCAGCTCATGGCTAATTTTGTTTAATTTATACCCCTCACAATTCTCTTCCTTTATTATTTTCCATAACAGCTTTATCGAGATATAATTCTCATACCATATAATTCACCCATTTAAAGCGTACAGTTCATGACTCCAAAAAACCGCTTGCCTCCTTAGCTGTCACTGCATTGCCGCAGCTCTCTCAGCTCTTAAACTCCATCAGTCGTTCTGTTTCTATGGATTTGCTTTTTCTGGACAGCTCATATAAATAGAATCATACAATATGTGTGGTCTTTTGTGAGTTGCTTTTTTCTTTCAGTGTCATGTTTGCAAGACTCGTCCACCTTGTAGTGTGTGAATGTACTAGATTTTGTTTACTCATCAGCTGATGGACGTTTGGGTCATTTCCACGCTTTGGCTGCTGTGAGTAATACTGCTCGGAGCATTTGTGTGTGCACATGGGTTTTTGTTTCTCTCAGATACCTAGGAGTTCCCATATTATTTTGAAGCAAACTTCTGACACCGTATCATTTCACCTGTAGATATTTTAGCATGCATCTCTAAGAAAGGATTAAGAAACAACCGCAACACCACTATGCCACTTAAACATGTAACATTAATTGCTTACTGTTATCAAATAGATTTTGGGGTACATTATGACAGGATTTCCTGATGAGTTAGATGTGAGCTGTGAGACAAGGTGAGGTGGGGGGGTCAAAAGGGACTCTGAGGTTTTTGTCCAGTACCTGGATATCAGCTGACAAGAAGGAGGGTTGTGGGTGGAACTGGCTTTTGGGAGCTGTCAGGAGTGCAATTTTAAGGTTAGTTTTGAGAACATTACCAGGTAGCCAAGTGGAGATGTTGAGTTTTCTATGTGTCTGGAATTCAGGAAGGAGGTCTGATTTGGGGTGTTGTCAGCATGAAGATGGGGTTTAAAGCTGTGAGGCTGAACCAGCTCTGTACCGGAGTGACTGCGGGTAGGGAAGAGACCCCAGAACAGGGCCCAGGAGCACCACAACGTGATCAGGCGGTGTGGTGAGGAAGAAGGGGCCTGAGCATTAGCAGCCAGTGAGCCAGGAGAGTGGGCTTTTCTGGAAGCCCAGGGAAGGATCAGTGGCTCATCACAGTCTGCTCACGGGTTCATGGAGGGGCATTCAGTGGAGCAGGAACAGTTTATTCAGCATTAAAGCTGTCCTCTCTCAGCTCCTGCAGACTTGTATTGGGATCAGCCTCCTCCTCTGGGTAGGCTGCCTTCTTGGGCAGAATTTAAAAGGGCTCCAGGCTAGTGCCGGCCCATAAGGCCGACTTCTGTAGTTCATAAGAGAATGTAGACAACTCTGCCTGGCTCTCTGCTGTGTTGTCTTGGGCTATGAGCCCACGTCCCATTCTCAGATTCCTCAGCATGCGTCAGATACTAGATATCCCCTTCAGGCCCTCAGTTCGAGTGAACACTCACCAGGTTCTCAGTGGTGTCCTTGAAGCCCATCTTACTAGGCAGATTAACTTCTTAGAGCTGCTGTGACAGAGAACCACAAGCCGACTGGCTAAGACAATAGACCTTTATCCTCTCCCAGTTCTGGAGGCCAGAAGTCTGAAATCAAGGTGTCTTCAGGGCCACGCTCCCTCTGCAGGCTCTAGAGGAGGATCCTTCCTGCCTCTTCCAGCTGCTGGTGGTTCCAGTCCTTCCTTGGTTTATGGCCATATCGTTCTAGTCTCTGTCATCATGTGGCCTTCTCCTGTGTCTGTGTTTCTTCTGTCTCTTATAAGGACACGTGTCATTGGATTTAAGGCCACTCTAATCCAGGATGATCTCATCTCAAGATCCTTCCCTTACTTGCACCTGTAAAAAAACCTTTTTTCCATACAAGGACACTTGTTATTGGATTTAAGGCCACTCTAATCCAGGATGATCTTATTTCAAGATCTTTCACTTATTTACATCTGTAAAAAAAACCCTTTTGTCCATACAAGGTCACATTCACAGGCTATGGGGGTCAGGATGTGGACATACCTTGCTGGGATTCTGATTCAATGCACTACACGAGGTACTGAGCTGACATCTTCAGTCCTGCTTGGAGGTGTATGTGGCACAGAGGATTCACGGCATGCTGAAACCTCCCCACAAAAACAATCCTCTCCGTCAGTCCCCCCTCTCGTGAGATGCTTACCTTGACTTTACAGCCTGGAGGTAGGTCCTAGGTAGAGTTTATAACAAGTGCTGAACCACGGCCTTTCTGACCCCACGTATGGGCCTGCAACTGCCTTTGGAATGAGAGGATATGCCACCTTGTAGATGGGAAAGCCTGTCTTGGGTTCCTGTTACACCTGATAAAGTGCTCGGTGTTCTGCTTAAAGCGTGGCCTCAGAACTCCCGCACAGACTACACTCCTTGCCCTGCAAGGTAAGAGAATTCTGCGAGGGTCTCATGGGACATGTCTGCTCCCTTTCTGCTCCAGGCCCTGACTTGTTGGATGAGCAGGCCCCCCTGGAAGAGTCCGCCGTGTGAGATGGTGCAGCCCAGTGGCGGCCCGACAGGGGACCAGGACGTGCTGGGTGAAGAATCTTCTCTGGGGAAGCCGACCATGCTCCACATCACTTCTGAGCAGGGCACTCCCGAGACCTTCCAGCGCTGCCTGGAGGAGAATCAAGAGCTCCGAGGTGAGGAGGGCGGCAGGTGTGCCGAGTCAGATGTCAGAGGTCCCAGCCTTGCTGGAGGGGAGGCTTCATCCACTCCTCTGCCTGTGTTTTTACCGGGTCTGGGGTGGGGGTGCCCCTGAGAGCCAACTAGTGATTCAAACTCAGCCACTCTCCCTTTGGGTTTCAGGTGGGCTCCCTGGAAGTGGACCGTGAGGGTTAGATGGCTGTGTGGGAAGTTTTTTGAGAGCGCTCAGAGGACCCGCACCCAGGAAGGGGAAGACAAGGGCAGAAGCGGGGGTGGGCCCAGGGAGAAGCTGGGCTGTGGTGCAGGCTGACCCCGCAGGGAGCTCTGGAGCTGGAGTGACCCTCTGAGTTGTCCCAAGTCGGGCTGGCTGTGGTGGGCCTTGTCCGTCTCCATCCTGATCTGTCCAGAAGCGTGTGGCCGTTCTGGGAGTGGCCCTGCAGCTCCTGGGGAGGGGGCGTGGGCTGCCCTGGGACGGACCTGCGGGGGAAGGGGGGCGGTTTCTGGTCCCTCCAGTGTGGGCGGGAGCACGGACCAGGTGGTGGCTCCCAGAACCATCCGGTTTCTGTCTTCACCTCGATCTGCACCCGCTCACCTGCCACCGTCTCACTTTTTGGGGGGTGTGTGGCTTCTTCAGCTCCCAGGGGCCTGCACCGGGCCTCTCAGGCGGCTGGCTGCCCTTGAGTGGGGCATATCTGTGGCCGCCCTGCAAGTGACAGCATCCCTCCCACTGTGAGCCTGCTGAGACATCTGGGGGGTGGGTGGTCCTGGCCGCTCGCTTGGTGTCGAGCAGCATCCCTGGCCTCCCCCACTAGATGGCAGTAGCACTCTTCCAGTTACCACAACCAGCAACGTCCCTAATGTTGTCCAGTGTCTTGCTGTGTTGGGGTCACACAGAGCTGGCAGCCAGGTTGGGGGTGGGGAGACAGCTCAGCTTGCACAAGGATGTGTGTGGGCTCTGCTGGGCGCCAGGAGGGTGCTCCAGCAAGAGGGGCTTGGGGGCAGGAGTGGCAGGCCCGCTGCAGAGGGCTCACGGCCCCGCAGGCTCCCTGGTCATGGAGCTTTTAAAGCGGCACCC